CTTTCTTTCTTTCTTTCTTTCTTTCTTTCTTTCTTTCTTTCTTTCTTTCTTTCTTTCATTCTTCTTTTGTTTTTCAGACAGGGTCTCCCTGTAGGCCCAGCTGGCCTGAAACTCACTATATAGACCAGGCTGGCCTCAATATCACAGAGATCCACCTGCCTCTGCCTCCTAAGTGCTAGTACTAAAAAGTGAGCACCACCACACCAGGAATTAAAAATATAGTTCTTAAAATCTTTGTTTCCATGCCCTGACCTTTTTTTTTCTATGCAGCTTTCTGGAAACACCCTAGGCTTTGAGACACGCAGGTCCAGGCTCAACTATCCCTAGGACAGGATCAAGCTCCATTCCTCCCTTATTTAGCACCTAGCATTGAGCCCAGCCCACAGTGGACAAACAATAAATGTCCCTGGAGCTCTGTGTATGATGCTGTGTACAACACTGTAAAGGTGTTGTACATATATTACCCTGAACCCACAGAATGCACAACACTCACAACAGACCCTAATATAAACTGTGGACTCTGGGCTACAGTAGCCTATCAGCGCAGGATCACCAACTGTAACAAATGCACTCGCAGTGGAGGAGGCTGATGCTGGACATGGGGGTGTGGGGACTCTGTATCTTGCTTTCAATTTTGCTGTAAATTTAAAACTATTCTAAAACAATAACATCTTTAAGAGGGAAAAATTAGGAAGGCATGACTGGGGAAGGGGTCTAAATTTGATTAAGAACTGTTGTATGAAACTACAAAAGTTCAAGAAAAATTTTAAAACAATATAAAACAGAAAAAAAAATAAGTCCATTGAATGAATACATAGATGGATGGGTTCTAATTCTAATTAAACCATTGCTGGCTATGAAATCTCAAGCCAGTTATTAAATCTCACTAAACTGGCTATTCAGCTTTAAAATGGGAATAAAACTGCCTTAAAGAGCTCCTGCAAGAATTAAGTAAGAACACGTATAAAATGCTGGGTACAAAGCAAGTTACACTTTCTCTCTGTGAATATCCCTGGGTTGCACCCTCACCTTTGTTCCTGATGCCCAGGCCTGTAATTCTGGCCCGAGACCTTCCATCACATACATATCATTTACTCCCAACACATAGGAGCTACATAACCACTGGTCTCCATTTGAAGGCGGGAACATGGGCAGCACCTGTCAGTCCAAGCTACTTGGGAGGCTAAAGTCAGAGGCCCCATAAGTCTGTAAGTTCAAAATCAGCCTGGGCAACAGCGAGACCCACCTCAAGAAAGAAACAAGGGACTAGAGAGATAGCTCAGTGGTAAGAGTGCTTGCTGCTTTTCCACAGACTCCAGGTTCAATTTCCAGCATCAAGCAACTCATAACAGCCTGCAGTTCTAAGAAAGCAACACCCTCTTCCGGCTTCCACAGGCACTGTACCCATGTGCTGCACACAAATGCACTCAGACACACACACATAAAATAATAAATCTTTACAAAAACAATAACAAACAATAAGCCAGTCTACAGTGCTGGAGAGACAGCTCAGCAAGTAGGAGGACTGACTGCCCTTCCAGAGGACCCAGGTTCGATGCCCAGCAGCCACATGGCAGCTAACAACCATCCATATCTCCAGCTCCAGGAGATCCAACGCCCTCTTCTGGGCATTGCCCTCCGTGGGCACTGCACAACATGGGTGTACTTATATACATTCAGGCCATATACCCATACACATAAAATAAAAATTATAAATAAAATATTTTAAAAAGTCGGTCTACAATGGTGCATGCCTGTAATCTCAGCACTCAGGAGGCAGAGACAGAGGGTCTCAAATTCAAGGTCAGTCTGGTCAATATAGCAAGTTCAAGGCTAGCCAGGGCTAAATATCAAGATCCTTTCTCAAAATATCAAAAAACAAAGTCAAGTGTAGTGATGGACATCATTAATCCTGGTACTTGGGAGCCAGAGGCAGGCATATATCTCTGAGTTTGAGGTCAGCCCTGCCTACATAATGAGTTCCATGCCAGCCAGAGCTACATAATGAGATCTTGTCTCAAAAAACACCTCAAAACACCAACTAAGCTCCTTCTTCCTCACACTCCAATGCTATCCAATGCACAAGGCTGAAACCTTGGGAATGCACTACACATCTCAAATCTGCAAATCCTCTTAACCCATTTGTTGAGATATTTCATTAGTATCATCTCTCCTGGGCCAGCAAGATAGCTCAATGGGTAAAGTGCTTGCTGCCCAAGCCCAATGACCTGAATTCAATCCCAGGAACCCACATAAAGGCAGAAGGAGAGAACTCACTCTACAAAATGTCCTCCGACCTCCACGTGTGCACTGTGGCATGTTCACACCCCCTCAAACTTACACATCATACACACCGTAATAAATATTTTTTAAATATACATCATGCCTTCTATACGGATTGATGGCGATGGTAGCTAACATTTACATTGTCCTTACTATGTGTAGACACACATCAATGCATTCCACCCTCAAACCATCTAATTAATAGACTATTATTATCCCTATTTTTAGAGGCACAAGGTCATATAACATGCCAGTGTATGGTGAGCCAGGATTCCAACCTGGGACATCTGGCACCGACAGCTCTGCTTTTACTGGGTGCTACCTTGTGTTGCTTCTAAGATGGAAGCCTCTCGGGTGCACCTGCTCACAGACAGCAGCTAAGCCGGCACTTTCTGAGCAGTTAATCCCACAGCCTCCAGGTCTGTCCGATTCTCAGCAAAGATTGCATCAGAAAATCACCCAGATTGGGAAGGGATTAATGTGCTCAGCATGATGTTATCCTAGCCCAGATCCTCAAACACTCAGCTCACTCAGGTCACTACCCCCAACACAGATTCCAAGAGGACTCTCATGACCACCCCCATGACTAAAACTATGAAAAAAATCCTTCCCCCTGAGTTAGCAGAGATTATAGTGACACTTTTTCTTTTGTCTTCTTTTTGTTTTGTTGTTGTTGTTTATGTTGATATGGTCCCACATTGTAAACCAGGCTAGCTTCAAACTCCTGGAACTCCTCCTGTCTCAACCTCCTAAGTGCTGGGGTTATAGGCATCAGCCACCATGCTCAGCTTGGTTGTACATTTTCAAAGAGAAATTTTACTAGCTGTTGAGGCAAACTGAACAACAAAATTTCCACAGTCCATAGAAATGACTGAATGAAGCCGGCCGTGGTAGTGCACACCTTTAGTCCCAGCACTCGGAGGGCAGAAGCAGGCAGATCTCTGTGAGTTCAAGGCCAGCCTGGTCTATATAGTGAGTTCCTGGCCAGCTCAAAGGCATGCACCACCAAACCTGGCTCTGAGTTTTTTTTTTAAGCAGTCTGGTTAGGCTGCCTCTATACATGAAGGAGGAGGTTCAACAGTGACCTGACACATGTGTCTTGAAGTAGGTCTGTACCTAGGTCTGATGGGATCTCTGACCCAATCAGGATGTGCTCAATCTCATCCCTGCTGCCTCCCACCTTCAAACGGCCATGCCTCCTCACTCTCCATTCCCCTAAGATTCTTTCTCTAAACCAAGGTTTTTTGACCACCACACTATTGACAGTTTAGGCAAGACAGCCTTGTTTCTGGGGGCTGAACTGTACACTGTAGGATATTTAGACACATCCTTGCCCTCTACCCCTCTGGACATTGCAACCTTGCTAAAAACTTCAGCCCTAATGGTTTTCGTGGGTAGCCAGAACCTCCAGAAACTTGCCAGAAATGTAAGTTCTCTCCCAGGTCTAGTGAATCAGAACTCCAGGAAATGGCTCAGAAATCTACGGGAAGCTCAAGTTTGGGAACTACTGAGCCACATACCTGAAGCCACCTCACCAAGCGAAGGCAACACTGATCATTTTCTAGGTCTCCACGGTTCTGCCAACCTCTCACCCCTCAGTCCAACTTTTGCCTGATCCATTTTTCTTGGTGCTGTTTGAATCATCTATAGTCTTCCCTAGCCACTTGTAAAGCTGGTTCTCTCCTCTATTGAAAAAGCTAAGAGGCCTTGATTGCAGGTCCTGAGCTCAGAACACTAATAAGCTTTCTGACTTGGGACACCTGCTGGCTTCTCTGGGTTCCAGAGGTGACTCAGCTCTCTGGTCCTATGCAGTGAAGCAACTGTCCAGAATCTTTTCGTTGCATTTTTCAATTAAAATAATAAACATAGCATCCCCTTAGAACATTCTAGAATAAGGTCTATAATCAGAGTCCATGTAGCAGCTGACCCTTCACCACAATCAGCTTCCTGAATCTCATTTCTGCTTTGCTCAAACAGCCTCAGCGGCACAGCATTAGCAAGTCAAGGAATGGACATTTTAGTCAGGCTCAGTGCTCTCCCATGGGAAGTGATGGGCAGAGCAGGCCCGTGTTTGAATCACCTAGGACTCAGCTCCAACAGGACCATTCAGATGCATGAACTAGGACAAGTCACTAAATCTCTGAGTCCTAGTTTTCTAGCCCTTAAGATGTAAATGACAAATCTATTTCATAGTATTGCTGTTAAGATCCCTGAAATCATATAGCTAACCTCCTGATTTTCCTTATAAAAGCACTTGTTATTAAAGCCATCATTAGCTCACCCCTACCAAAGCAGGTATCACAGCTGGGGCTACGCCTAGTAAGATAAACAGACATACAGGATACCCTTCTAAGCTGACTGAGATTCTCCCACTGTGGGGTACAATGCTGAACAGCAAGCGCCTCTTCCCCTAATGCCCACACGCACTGACTCACACACACCCCAAATCAGGCAATGTACCTTCCAGCTCCAAGTATCTGACACCAGTCAACTATCTAGAGTTAAAGGAGTTCAAAAATCTCTTTTATATGCAAAATTAAAGGAAAAAAAGCCAGAATCCAAACTAAAGCTCCTATCAATCAAGAATGACTCTCTGAGGCACTAACCTAAGTCATCAAAAATAAATAAATAAACACATTTGTACCCAGGAGAAGCGCTCTGGTGAAGGCATGCCTGCGTGTAGAAGCGTCTGTATTATCATTAACAAGTCTCCCTTGCTTGACTTCTCAACAACTGCTCCTTGTTGCCATAGTAACAGCCCTTCCACTCACCAGAGACCTACTGAACATACCACCCTGTTTCTCTCTCTCCTGCCCAAGGAGAGAACAGCAGAGACAGAACTCACAGGAGATGTTGCACAAATAAACACAGGTGGGCATAGACCTCTTCCCATCCTGTGCCAGACTCCATGTCTACCCTCCCCACCCCCAGAAGGCTCACTCAGTCCTCTTACACCCTGCCAGCCTCCGCATCCCCACACTCACCATGTTGGAAATGCTTCGGGTGTTGGCAGGATTCAGCATGACGATTTCAGTAGTGATGTGGCCTTCCACAGCCTCGGTCATCTCATCCACTGTACAGTTGATTGATGGGTCGTAGGTCTTAAACCAGTTGTCAGCATACCAACCGATGAGGAACCAGACATACTTCTTCCCAAAGAGCCGCTCCTTGTAGACCTGCATGTAGGAGAACAGGAGGGGAGTGTGTGGGGTTTGCTTTTGTTCTGGGGGAGGTGGTGGCAGTGTCTCAGCCTTGACAATGAGGAAAACACAGGATTTTTTTTAAATCTTCAATGAAACCCATTACTTTGTATGTGAACCTAAAATTTAACAATATTTTTTTAACTCTTTAAAAAATAGGAAAGGCTCAGCAAGCCTCCTCCCTAATTCTCCCCAGCCCTGCTATTTCTGAGTAGCCTTTTCAACCACTCAGGATAAAAAAAAAAAAGGGGGTGGGTTATGGGCTGTTCAGAAACAGAACGGAGGAAAATGAAGTGTGTGTGCAAGTGGGGGCAAGGGCCAGAGCCAACAGACAGACATGATATTAATTATCACCTCGGGTCGTTTGCTGTCAATTGAAGCAGAGATGTAGTAAGGAGGACCCAAGAGAAAACAGCAGCAAAGAGCCCACCCAGCCCCGCCCAGCTCCAGATTCCAACGCCACCTCACAAAAAACTTTCCGGGCTTCAGTCTCATAGAAAAGTCCCACGATGATTCGGGCATCCTGGCGCTACAGAATGGAGACAGAAACAGAGCTCCTGAGGGACCGAGTGCGCCCGAGGGGTTAAGCCAGCGCTTTCACAACGTTGACTTCCCAGCTCCAGTGCTTAGTGCAAAGTAATGCTCAATGGGCAGTGGATAAATGTCAACTGGAAGATGGAACTAAACCTTCCCAGGGGACACGGCTGCCTCTCAGAATGGACATCAGTCCCTGGCTCTCCTCTCCCATGGACCACCCTCCCACATGACCCCTCTCGCAGGCTCGCCTCCCCCCTGACCACCCTCCCTCTCTTTCAGGCTGAGCCCACCAACCCTGCCAGCCCACCTTCAGGTTTTTGACTGGCACAGCTGGATCTGAGAAGAAACTCTGGCGGAAAGTGATCTCAATCCCAGCCTCCTTCACTCGCTCCTCTAGGTCATCCAGAGTCTTGGTTGGGCATAAGAGACAGGTAGGAAGAAGGCAGGGTAGGAAGGGCAGGTGGGGCAAAGCACAGCTGGTAAGTGGAGACTGACCACAATTCACAGCAAAAGAGCAACTTGCTGAACCTCATTCCAACAGCCCTCCTGCGCCCCTGTGAGAAGGGGGCAAAGGAAAGCACCCTGAGTCTTAGGAGGTAGCTTCCAAGATGCATGGTGAACCCCCTTCTCAGGGTCTGTGTCCAGGGATGCCACCCCACCTATCCCACTCCTGACACCCATTCCACTCCTGACACTGGGAAGCAAACAAGAAAGGACCATAAAAGGGGAAGGCAGGGTCTGGAATAGACAGGATGATGCCAATTCAAGAAGCAAGTGGGCAGACAGACAAAAGAATCCAAGGAGAATGGACTGAGTCACTAAGGAAAAGTGGAGAAGAAGGATTAAAGGGTCACTGAACATGACTGTACAGGACCCAAATAATAGAACAAAAGGAAGAATTGGGCTGTTTGCCTCTGTGTGAAGCCTGCACTTCCTCCACCTCCGCAAACCCTGTCCCCCTTCAACTTCTTTGTCCATCAGTATCTCTATCAGACCCACACACTACCGCTGGTCTCTTGTCTGCTCCTGTCCCTCTACCCTCTTCCTCCCTGACCCCACTGGGCTGTTCATGCTATTTCCAGTCACCCTACCCAAGAATATTACAACCTACTGCTTCCTCAGGACCCTGCTTCCTATTCCCTCTTGGCTCAACTTGGGTTTGAACCCAGAGTCCTTTTGGATCTGTCTGATAAACAGTGTATCAAAATGAAGAACAATTGTAAAACCATGGAGAAGATCCCAAAAATCCAATTCACTCATTCCCAGGCTACAGAAAAAACAAGGACTTGGCCCTCTGGAGTGGTAAAATATTAAGACTTCCCCAACAGGGCACTGAGGGGATGCCCCTGGCATACCTCCTGTCCCACACCCTGTCCCTCCTCACCGATGTGAAGACCTCTGTGGTCTGCTGGATAGTGGCAATCTTCTTCCAACCCCACTTTTCAAAGAGTTTCACCCGGGTGGGGTTGTGGAGTGTGGCGGATGGGTGTGTTCGGAAAAACGTGGGGAAACGTTGTCGGTTGGACAGGGCTGGTGAGCTGGAGCCATAGGAGAGCTGAGGCAGAAAGACAGGAAGTGTCCTTGAAGACCCCACTGAAGACACTGGGAGTGCCTTGAGCTGTTTCTTGGAGCTCCAGTTTTCTCCACCCCGCTCTCCAAACCTCCTTACTTTTGTCCTAGGAAAATGATCCTCAAGGGCCCACCCTCCAATAGACAATCAGGGTGCTCACTCACAGATCCCTCCAGCTCCTCAGACAATGCTTCTAGAAGGTCAACCAGCTCAGGTTCTCAGAAGGCTGAGTCCTGGCAGTAGCCCCCCCCCCAGTCCTTTTAAACATAACCACAATTCCTCCACTTAGCACAAGCCAAAAGGAGCCGACCCCAGGCCCTGCATACCACGATGAGGTTCCACATCCGGGCAGCCTCCGCCACAAGCGTGGAGACAGAGCTACAGCCTGGCATGAGGATGATCTTGATGGGGTCATTGTAGAGCAGTTCATATAAATACTTGGTGGCTTGGCCTGGGTCACACTGAGGAAGGAGGGAGGGGATGAAAGGGTAGGCTCCCCAGGGCTCCTCCCCTTCCCCATGCCTGTGTCTTTTCTTGGACAACCCAGTTCCTTCCTCGATTACTCACTTCCATCACTGACAGATTCTCCTTCCTGAACCTCTCTTCCTGTCAAGTCTCTTCTTTCTCCTCTTTCATTAAGATCACTTCTCTCATCTTCCATCTGGAGCCTTAGCTCTATCCATTCACTGCACACCCTCCTTCCATATTAATGCATATGCCATCCTCCATCCCCAAACCCACTCTCTCCAGTCACCCATGTCCCCCACCCCATGTTTCTAGGTTGTAAAAGAAATCTGCAGGAACATAAGTACTTTCTCCCCTAGGTCTCCAGACAGCTTCCACCTTCCTGTGGGCAAACTCTGTCTCCCCCTTGCTATTCTCCCTCCCTCTTCTCTGTTCAAAACTAGTGAAAAATAAACAAGAAAGAGCAGGACACGACCAGTAGGGGGTCTGCTCAGCACCCCACCCTCTCCTGCTGGGACCTGACATTTGACAGGTCCATTAGAGAAAAAGAAAAGACCCTGGAAGTGAAGAAGAATCTAAAGCAAGGACGAGCAGGAGAAGGAATAGAACTCTCCAGAAGCCAGATGATATTAGGGGTGCCTGAAAGCCAGGCAGTGGGAAAGCTGTAGAGGAAAAGAGGTGGGAGGAGGAAAAATGGGGGGGGGCAGCCACGGGTCACCCACAGTCTGTTCCCCTCCTGCTGAAGAATGACCTTTCAGAAGCTGCAGGAGCCCCTCAAAGGAAGTGGAGAAGAAATGGCAGTTAGTGGGAAGTCAGAGCAGGAGGGACACAGAAAGGAGGCACAGGGGACTGGAGAGGGTGAACTGGGAGGGGGGCATAAAAAAGACACCTGGAGCCTGCTTGCTCCCCACTGAGGCCTGACATTTAAGACACTGTGGGAAGTTGGAGATGAAGCCAGCGGGGAGCCTGAACTCTGTGGCCTGCCCTATCCTCAATCCCTGTCAAGGGCAGGATTCACATACATATCCAACACCTCTATGGCTCCCACTTAGCATCCTTACAGTTCTGGGGTCCCACCTTCCCAGCTTAGATAGCAGACCCCACCTGCAGCTTTCTCCCAAGGTTCCTCAGTGTCCTACCACTGTCTGTCTGAAGAAATGGTTTAATAGAGCAATGAGGATGTGTGGCAATCTATGGTTACATAAAACAGATAATGTGTGTGGCCCCATGTGTGTACCATCTCTGTCTCCTTACATCCCTTCCACACCCTGTTCACTGCACAGTCCCTCCTTTGTGGGGTCCCTCTTACCAACAGTTATCCTCTGCTTTATCCTCCTCCTTCACTTCTCCCTTCCCTTAGCCTCCCACCCGTCTGCTCCCCAACACCTTCAGGAAATCACCTGTCATGGGGGATGAGTTTGAGGTCCAGCAAGGCCTCCCTTGCCTCCCTGTGGTGCCCCATCCCAAAGCCTGTCTCCCTCTTGGATCTTCTTCCAGCCCAGCCCCCACAGCCAATTATCTATTTTGCTCTCCCAATAGATCTGACCCTCTGTCCCCTGCCTCCCCTACAGGCTCTGCATGGGGCTTCTCTTCCTACAGGCATCCTAGAGTTAGCTGTCCTGAGGTAATCCACACTCAGGCTGGAATTTTGTAGGTGAAAATGCAAATACTACTTGGGATTCTTCCTGACCAGGGGGTTTGACCTGGTATTTTAAAGTCTTCTGATGATTCTTATCCACAAGGATGTTTGAGACCCACAGAGAAGGTGTTAACAGTCCCTGGCTCTCCCTTCCCCAGCACCCTGCCTGCTGCCTCACTTCTGCCCCCTCTTGGCCGCACTTGCCTATTTTTTTAGGTACATATTTAGGCACACCCCAATTGTAAAATGGCCAAATTCCCCACCTGTACTTTCAAATCTCTGGGGCCACATGTCAGAGAGAACCCAAACCTCCCTCCTTCCTGGTGTGGTGGTCTGCCCCCACTCCCCAGGGAGAGGCCTAGGAAGGAAATCTTACTGTAGGCCATCCCCTAACACCCCTGATTTCCCTACATCACTCTGCCCCTTCTCAACCCTACATCTTGTTTCTCTCCTCAAATCCTCCATCCCAAGATGATAAAGAGAAGCTAAGACCAGGACCCCAAGCTCCACAGGAAATCCAGGATTCTTCACCGTCCCCATCTCCCACCCCCACCCCGCCCGGTACACTGACTGTTCCCCCTGTACGCTGACTGTCACCCCCATGCTGTTGTGGGGTCTCCTGCGTGGGCCCTAGGCCAATTTGCTCTCCAGGGCCTCAGCCCACCTCTTGACCATCATCAGTCCGTCTCTCCCAATGCCACAGACCACACATCCTCACAGTCCAGGAATCCCCCACAGGGTCAAGATGACAGTCAAGCAGCTCTACCTGGCTGTTTGTTTTGATAAATAAAGTAGATTTCTCATGCCTCTCTGAACCCTCCCCCTCCTCTCCCTATCCCTACCAGCCCCAACCTACGCGGAGTTTTACCTTGTTACCATGGTAAAAAAGTAAACCCCTGATCAGCTCCCTTCTGACGTTCCTTCCAGCCCCCAACCCTGGCCTGGCTTAGTTTGCTCCCCTAGAGAACCAGCACCTGCCGAAGACCCCCAGCACTAGCACTTCTGCGAGTCTCGCACTGCCTACGGGAGGGTTAGCCTTGGGCCTCCAGCCCTACGATTCTTTCTCCCCGTGCTCCTGCACCCCAGTTCCTGTGCTGCCAGTCACACTGGGAGGGGTCTGCCTCGCGATCCCCGGGGATCCACAACCTAGGCCCCCCGCCCGGACCCCCCAACCCCTCGGCCGACTAACCTTGCTGTCGTGGTGGATCAGCTTGAGCTCATAGTCCGGCAGGATGTCCCTGCGGCTGTTCACGTCCTCCAGCGCCATCTCCACCGCGGGCTGGCAGGCCTGGCCCCCCGGCCAGCCCCCGCTCATGGGAAACAGCGCCCCGATGTACACCGCGCGCCGTTCTGAGGAAGGGTGCGGGGGGACCCTCGGGTGAGGCCGCGGGAGGTGCGGGGAGTGTGAGGCCCACACCGGAGCCACCCCGGCCGCCATCACCAGCAGAAGAGGCAGCGGCCACCCCACCGGGGGACCCGGGACCCCCATGGCGGGGAGGGGCGGGGGCGGCCGCCAGGGAGGAGGCAGCTCAGGGGGGACACTTCTCCTGGTGAAGGCCGCTGGGGGGGGGTCGGGGAGGCGCCTCCATCCCGGGTCTCGCGGGGACAAGGGGCCCGAGCCCCGTGGAGGCTGGACCTGGGCTCGCTAGGGCCCCGCGCGCTCCCGCCTAAGCGGACTCTCCTCGCCGACTGACCGACCGACGGAAGGGAGGAGGGAGAAGAGGAGCTGGGAGGGGGCTCTGACGTCACGGGGGGCGGGGATGGGAGTCGAAGCTGCGCGAGGGGAGGGGGGAGGGGACACGGGAAGGGAGGGGTCTTCCCGAAAGGAGGCAGGAGGGGAGGGGACCAGGGGATGCTGGAGGTCGGAGGCCAAGCACAGAGTAAAGATGGGGTGAGGGTGGGTAGGACAGGTTGGGGGCTGGTGCCGGGTCTGAAAGTGGGGTGTGGGAGATGTGGTGAATGGCTGAGGGCGGGCAGAGAGCGAAGGGAAAACGGCTTTTCAGAAAGATGGGTGAGGAAGGGAGCGATGTGGATCTGGGAAGGAAGCGAAAGCTGGGGGAGCCGAAAACGAGAATCGGGGTCTGGCGGGAGAAGGAGTCTGGGGAGGAAGGATGGGGAAGGGATGCCAGGTCTGGCGAGGGTGGGACCGGTGAACAGGGCGCGGGTGAAACCTAGGGAGGGGGTGGCGGGAACCGGTCCCCAGAAGGTCGGAAGGAACCCCGCGGGGTCCCCCCTCCCCAGGCTCGCGGCTGCCCCCTGCCGGGTTTGCGCACGCCGCGAGGCCGAGTCCGGGAGGAGCGCAGCCTGCGGTGGGAGCTCTCCCGAGCCGGGGAGATGGGAGGGAGCGCGGCCGGGGGAAAACCGCGAGAAACCGGTAGGCAGAGGCCCGGCCTCAAACTGGAATGTGTGGGGAGGCATGAGTGACCCGACGCCCACAGCCTAGGGGAGGAATCCTGCGGGAAGGGGGTGGGGTGGAGTGAGGGAGAGGGGCGGTGTGCACGCGGGAACGAAGTCTAGTCTCACCTGAGTGTGGAGTTCGGTTCACTGGCAGCAGGAAAGACGGGGATCAGAGAAGAGTTACCACGAGCGCCCAGGTTCCCAGGCCTGATCCCCAGCCCCCTCCCACACCTGTTCATGCCGAGCCGAGACTGCGTTTCTGAGGGAAGGGTTGCCTGGGGATAAGAGCAAGGTGGGGCTGGGGGTCAGGACTTGGTGTTTTCTTCTTTTATTGTTCAAAGGACAACAGAATTTGTTGACAGGAGTGCCAGCAACTAAAGGGGAGACATATCTTGGTTTGGGAAGCTTGGATAGTATAAAAAGTCTAAGGGGTCTCTAAGGAAAAAATTACAAATTCAATTGATTTTAAATAGTTGCTGTTAAAATACCTTAATTCTGTAATTTTTCCAAAAGTTGGTTAGCATCTGAACACATTCTTAGAACTCAAAAGAGGGCTCTGTGAGAACTGAGGAACTCTCCCTCAATTGAGGGTGCTTAACTTGCATCTCGGGGAAGAGTTTGGGTGCCCAGAATAGGTGTGCAGAACTAGTCAGCAAAAAGTGGGCAGGAGAGGTAGGAGACACAGAAACAATTGTTCCCTAGACATGACAGCTTATAGAAAGTAGAGACAAGGTCCAGAGTAGGCCCATCTGTCCTTGAGTTGTCCTCAATGTTCTGACCACATGTCCCCTCTTTTGCCTCTTGAATATGTTTCCACTCCCAGATCTCATCCATTTTTCTAAACATAATGTATGATTTAATTCTGAATCTTTACAGTCATCCGATTATAGATGAGTGGCAAAGGAACAATTCTAGAAGAAAGTGATAGAAAGTTGTAGGTCTAGAGAACAGGGATGAGTCTAGGGAAAACCAGAGGTTAATTAAACCTTAAGAAGGTGAGGGAGGGTGAGACTCATGAAGGAAAAGAGAAAACAAAAGGCCCAAGATTTGAGTGTAGGAAGACAGAAAGGGGGTGGAGGGAAGTCCGCACAAGTAAAGTAACTGCCAGGGACTGTGGGCAAGTCTGAGGCAGGTGGATGGTGGAAAGGGCAGTGCTTTCACCTGTCTTCCCAGGGCCCTCCCTACAGTCTTCAAAGCACCCATCCTGTTCCTCTATCCATTCCCACCCAACTCCCATCCTGGTACAAGCACCCTTATCGGCTGCAGGCAGGCAGCTGTTACCCTCACCCTGGCAGTGGGGCTTGGGGGTGCTCCACTGGCCCTGACTACAGATGCTCCGGGAGCTGCCCACCAGATGAAAGTCGGGGTCACATCGGAAATCCACCCGGGCTCCATCCAGAGCTGGGAGGTCCCCACCCGTCAGGAAAACCTTCCCATTTTCCAGGGTCAAATAAGACTTGGAGCAGATTCGGACTGTGGAGAGAGAGGAAACAAGAAAGTCAAGTTGTAGAGAGAGGCTCCTTTCCCTTGGGAGTGTAGGGAGTTCAGGCTTGGGTTCAGGTCCACAAGCATTCTGCTCTAGAGGAAATCAGATGTGAGAGAGCTGTGCCACCCTACCACTCTCTCCTCCCTAAACCCCAGCATCCACAATCCCACCAGGAAAAAAGGAAACAGCATTTGCATCCTCGAAACCCAAGATGGAGCTATAAGCACACAAAATGGGATCTGCTCACAGCACTCCGAAGTGGGTGGCTCTGCTTTGAAATGTGTAGATGTATATAACTTTAAACCCCAGCATCCACAATCCCACCAGGAAAAAAGGAAACAGCATTTGCATCCTCGAAACCCAAGATGGAGCTATAAGCACACAAAATGGGATCTGCTCACAGCACTCCAAAGTGGGTGGCTCTCTCTGCTTTGAAATGTGTAGATGTATATAACTTTGCATGCACCATCAGGCTCGCTTTTCTTTTTATGGTTGGTCTATACCAGTTTAGTTTATAAGGCCACTGAGTTGGAGACAAAGGAGTCAGAAAATGTGATGAAATCATTTTAAAATTTTTTAGTGTAATCTCTCACCAATGATCCTCAAAGAGTAACTCCTAATATGAATAGTCAAAGTTATTTCGGCCAATGATCAGTGGCCTAATAAAGAGGATGAAGGGAAATGCACAAACTTGTACCAGCCCATTGAACTCACTCATTAAACCTATTGGTGAATTTGGTAACACTGGATTTAAAGCGCTGACATGCTAAGCAACAATCTTAGGTTTAAGACAGGAAAAGGAATGGCCTTGAGGAGGGGAGGGGCTTCACCCACTACTCACCACAGCGACTGGGTGTGTCCATATCCGTCCAGGAACCGTTGGCCAGGCACTTGCGCACCTTGGGCCCCACCACCTCGCGCTCCCCCCGGCACACATACTCGATCTCGTAGTCCACCGGCAGGAAGTTGATGGCCTTCACCTGGTCGCGAGTCAGGCCGCGGTACCTGATGCCCCCTTCCCAGGGCGGGTGTATAATCTGGCAACCTGAGGGGGAGTGGGGAGGCACACGGGAACCGTGGGAGCGCGAAGGAGGCGCCGCAGTGGGAGGAGGGAGAGCAGGGTGTGGCAGTGGTCAGGCTAGAGACGGACAGTAGGTTGGGAGAGGGATGGGGACTGGAAGGTGGGAGGGGGAACAGGTAAGAACCCCGGGCTGCAGGACAGTTAGGGGTTAAGGCTAAAGCTGATGAGAGAGTCCAAGAATAGGAAGGTACAATGAGGAATAGTGAGAGGCATAACATACTATGTGGGGGGACTGTGGTTAAAATGAGGGACGAGGGCTGAAGAAGAGGAGGACAGCACGAGACCATCAAGGAAATAACGTGGGACCACGGAAGAGGGTGCTGTAGTTATGTGGGGCCCGGAAGGGGAGGTGGAGCTGAGAGAGAATTCGGGGTCACAGAAAGGCGGTGTAGAGTAGCAACGTGAGGATGCTCGTGGTGATGCGAGGTGACGGAAAGGAGGTCAGTAGAGAAACGGCCGCAGACCGGAATGCCCTGGGGAGAGTGCTGAGGACCGGAAAGGAGGCGTGCAGGGAAAGGGACCGCGGGATGGGAGAGGGCGGCGGAGGAGGGTGCACCTTCCGAGGTGGCGTTGGGGGCCTGCGCCCCGCCCGCGCCCAGGGGGCGGAGGAAGAGCGGCGCCAGCAGCAGCAGCAGCAGCAGCAGCATCTGGGGAAGAGGCGGCCGTTAGCCCCGCCGAGCCCGCCGGCGGCCTGGACCGGCCTGGCCGGGCTCACCAAAGAGGGGGACACGGAGGGCGCCCAGCGGAGGTGGCGGGGGCGGAGCCGCACGGGCCGGGGGAGAGGAGGAGAGAGCGACTGTCCCCACCCTCCTCCGGCCTCCCTCGCCCCCCACCCTCCCGGGACTCCACCTCCTCCCCGCGGCCCCGGCGAGCCCTGCTTACCCACGCTCCGGGGTCCGGCCTCTCCATCGCCCGCCGCTGGCACCGCGAGACCGGCCCTGCTCCCCTGTCCGCGCCCGGCGCCCGCGGCCCTGCTTACCTCCGCGGCCGGCCGGCTCCCCGGCGCTCCCCGGGCCTCCAGGCCCCAGGCCGGACCGCTGCTCCCCGCGCTCCCTCCCGCTCCTCCACCTTCCCCTCCCCCGGCCTTCCTCCCCGGGAAGCCGGGGTCTTTCCCTGCTCTCCCGTTCCCCTGCAAACCCCACCCCCGGCTCTCCTTCCCCGGGGCGGCGGCGGCCGCGGGAGCGCGGAGCCGGGAGGGAAGGAGGCGGCGCCGGGGACCAGGGAAGCTCTCGGGCGGAGGGAGGAAGGAGGGTGCAGGAGAAGACGGGGCGGGGGGAAGGGAGGGGGAGACCGGAGAGGGCGCCTCCCACCACCCGAGCCCCGGGAGCCGCCCCAGATCCCGGCCCCGCCCTGGACCGCCCACGGCGCGGGGGGCGGAGAGGTGGCACCGCGGGGACCCGGGATCTGCACACGCGCGAGGACTGAGCGCCGGCTGAAGGCCAGCGTGGGGTGAAGCGACCCGATCCCAGTGCAGAAGAGCTGGCACTGAGACAGGAGCCTGCGTGAAGGTGGAGAAAAGGACGGTTGCACGAAGATCCGGGCGACCGGAGCAAAGAGCAGGCCAAGGGCCAGGAGCTGAAGGGAGAAGCCGGGGTCTGAAGGAGCTACGGGTGGAGGGGGCGCCCGGAGCCGCCTAGGTGGCCGGAGAAGAGAGGATGGAGAAGCCGAGCTGCCCAGGGCGGCTCCCTGGTCTAGCCGCAGGCTATTTGCAAGCTCCAGAGGGGAAAGCAAAGGCCCGGAAGGGGAGCATCAGGGAGGGGAAACTGAGGTTGATGAAGAAAGGGGAACTCCAGGAAAGAAAACCTCCAGGTGGGCAGGATCCAGTATTATAGTCAACACTCAGGGCCTAACACCTCTGTGAGCTGGAGGCCCTCCAGTTATAGGACCTGCAGGCCTTTTGACAGCTGACACCCTGACTGAGGTCTGATTGTCCTTGATGATGTTGGTGAGGAAAGGGTCCCTCTGAGAATGAAGAACCGAGGGACACGCCTTTCTGTCCAGTCCCTCTAAAAAGGTGGGAGGAAACCAGATATTGTAATGCCCACTAGAGCCAAGGTTTTCAACCCATGACCCCTATACCACCAATCACTGACATTCATAGATTACATCACCTCCCTCCACACATGACTAAATGGCACCAAAGCATTCCCCCCCCCATAAAGAGGAAATCAAAGAACGGCAATTTGTAATAAAATAACATAAACAGTATTTTAACAAGAGTGCCAAGCTAGGGCTTCCCTGGAAGGAGGCAGATACTTACATCTCTCCATGGAGAGTCATGGAGATGGAATTGCTACCAACACACGCTCACACAGGTGCACAGCCGGTGACTCAATACCTCCGGCAGGTTGCCATCAATGAAATGACACCATGAAATGTTGTACAATTCACGGTAACCAAGTCAGCTTTCCCTAAACTTGCACAGAACTGTAATTGCATTCCTAGAAGGTTCATTGCATATTTAGACCATTTTTTAAAAAGAACTATTAAGTTCTAGGCTCAGATAATTAAACACAAGATTTCATCTACATGAATGTCCTCGGGGACTTTTGAAAATCTGAGTAAGGGAGTACTCTTCATCCTGTAGAAAATTGCTTTTACACCTGCCCTATCCATAAGTGCACCCCCTCACACACCACTGTAAATACAGAAAAGAAACACCACAAAGTGTCTAAATGCTGCCTAAAGCTTGAGAACCACTGAGCTGGAAAGGGCAGAAGAGATTTAGAAGGGTTTTTAACCCCTGGGAATGACAGTCACCCTGAGTGCCCTGTCTCCTCAACAGAACTGAATTGAAGAAATGTGACACCAACTAACGTTCCTGACACCAGAAGGTCATGAGGACAAGCCTCCCAGACAGGAAGATGAGCTCCCTGACTCTGCAGAGCCTGCGGGCTGGCCCTTCTACCTCTCTTGTGATCCCATGTGGTCCTGGCAGGGCTGGGCTCCCAGGGACCCTTCCCAGACCTGGCAGCACCCTACTACAGGGGAACATTTGAGCAAGTGTCAGGGAGTCACAAACTGCTCTCCATCTAGGGCCTCCAATGTGCTCACTGGACAAACTGCTCACCTCTGGAGCCCTCCATAGCTGCTTCTTCCTGCTGTCCTGCCTTTTCATTCTCCAGTATCACTTCCAGGATTCCTAGTCTGTATTCCTCAGGACATCGCTGAGGCCCTGCCCCCAACTGCACTACTTAAGTGTGCTAACTCTGCCCTCCCTACAGTGTATCAGGTGGGGGATGATGCTGGCTGGCCTTGAACCAGGACTTCACATGTGCTGAGTGGTCTACCTCCAGCCCTCCACTTCCTTCCTTCCTCCACACCAAATACAAACACTTTTCTTCTGAAAAGGTACCTGGGCTCAATCCCTTCCTCCTCTCACTTCTGTACAATTTGCAATGCTGTCTCCTTTCATAGTTTTTGAACATTTTCCCACAGAACTAGTGGAGTTCCTACTCAGATTGCCTGAGAAGGGTCAGTGTTGTTTATTTTATTTCCCATGATCCACTTCTTTTCTCCCCATTCAGCCCCTTCTTCTGCCCACCTCTGAAAGTATACAGCCCAGTCGCCATGAAAACAAAGTAACCAAAGCACCTCAATTTATTGATGATCTATGAGATGCTGGGCTCTGCAGGGAGCATCTAATCCAATCCTCACAGCACCACACAAAGTAGATACCCATGTACTTGTGTTGGATACCGTTGTGTTAGACTAAAATGGTTTAGAGAAGGTGAAAGCACTCAGAGGTCATCAGCTAGGAAGTCTGCAGCATCAATATTCAAATTCAAGCTCGTTACTCTGCACCCAAATTAATTTTTTTATTGATTTATGTGTTTGTGTGTATTACCTGCATGTATGTGAGTACACCCTTGTCATGCAATGCCCATAGAGGTCAGAAAAGGGTGTCAGATTCTCCTGGAACTGGAGTTACATATGGTTGTTAGCCACCATGTGGGAGCTGAGACTCGAACCCAGGTCCTCTGCAAGAACAGACAGTGCTCTTAACTGCTGAGCTGTCTCTCCAGTTCCCCAAATTAATTCATTTTTAGACAGGGTCTTGCTATGAAGCCTCAACTGACTGAGAACTTAACTTCGTAGAATAGGCTAGCCTTTGACTTGTGGCAATCTTCCTGCCCCTGACTCCTGAGTACTAGGATTACAGTGCCCAGCTTTCAAAGTTTAGTTTTGCCAAGCATCATGGTACATGCCAATAATGCCAGCACTTAGCAAGCTGAGGCAGGAGGATCACTAGTTCAAACCCAGCCTTGGGCTATACAAAGAGTTTGAAGCCACGCTAGAGTGGTGTCACATATTTTTAATCCCAGCACTCAGGAGGCAGAGGCAGGCAGGCCTCTGTGAGTTTGAGATTAGCCAGGTCTACATAGTGAGTTTCATGCCAACTAGGACTACATAGTGAGACTCTGTATCAAAAATAAAATTACAGGGGCTGGATGCACAGTGAACATATCCCCACACAGACACACAGACATACATATGTACATACATACATACATATAATTTAAAATGATAAAAATAGCCAGGCATGGTAGCACACATCTTTAATTCCAGCAGTCAGCAGACAGAGGCAGGTGGATCTCTGGCCTGGTCTACATAGTGAGTTCCAGGCCAGCCAGTGCGACATAGTGAAACCCTGTTTATAAATAATAAATAAATAAAAATATTTTTACAGAAGTTTAGAGGTTTGGGGTGGGGGGTGTTAGTGGTGGTGATAGTTTTTGAGACAGTGTCTCATGAATCACAGGCTGGCCTCAAACTCTCAAACTTGCTATGCAGCTAAAAATGACCTTGAACTACTGATCCTCCTGCCTCTACATCCTGAGTACTGGGATTATAGTATTACTGCACCCTGGCTTGGAAGTTTAGTTTTGAGGCACTCCTCTCTTTGACCTCCCTCCACATAGCATCCTGATCAAAGATCAAAGTGCATTCTGTTCTATTTCCCACCTGAAGTGACTGAGCAACATGTGAAGGACAGAAATCCTCATCCCTGAGGTAAAGGACTCATCTTTAGAGACTGTTTTCTGTCCTTTACAACTGTTCAGAAAAAAATGTATGGGGTAAGGCTTCAAAAGTCAGAGATGCTGCCAGGTGCAGTGGTACACGCCTTTAGTCCCAGCACTTGGCAAGCAGAGGCAGGCAGATCTCTGTGAGTTTGAGGCCAGCCTGGTCTACATAGTAAGTTCCAAGCCAGTTGGGGGTACAAGAAGACTCTGTCTGAAGTACAGGGATTACAATCATGCCCCACCACACCTAACTCTTTTCTTCCTTTCATAATAGAAACAAGACCTCAGAATTTTGGAACCGGAAGAGGTTGAGGATAGAGCCAGCGAGATGGCTTAGTGAGTAAAAGCACTGGCTTTGAAGCCAGATGACCTGGACTTGAGTTCAATCCCTGTAACCCATGTGGTGAAAAGAGAAAATTGATCTATACATACACACACACACGCACACACACACACACACACACACACACACCATGCAATAGAGTTACCAAAAAGAAGTCCCAGCCAGGATGCTGGGCTACAGTGAGATGCTGTTTCCTCAGGACCACCCCCAACCCCGCAAAATCCCAGAAATTTATCCAATAGAGTTACCAAAAAGAAGTCCCAGCCAGGATGCTGGGCTACAGTGAGACCCTGTTTCCTCAGGACCACCCCCAACCCCGCAAAATCCCAGAAATTTATTGACATGTCTGAAAGTTGGATCAAGTTACCTGCCTCTTCCTCACAAATGGAACCTCCTTAGTTATAGTCTCACACAAACTCCTTTTTTCCCCTCAGTGTTGAGCAATTCAGATTTGTACATGCCAGGCTAGCACTCCCCCATGGAGTCAAACCCCCAACCCAATAGGACTTCTTTTACAAAGGCACTAAGAACCTCCCCCAAAGCCCCACCATGAATACCATCACACTGTATATTAGGCCTCAATATACGAACTGGGGAGGTTGGGGACATTCAGATCCGACAAGTGTGTTCCTGACACCCTACGCCTTCCTACTTTGCTCCAGCACAGGGAACAGGAAGATTAGCCAATCTGTTATGCCTTTGCAGCCCAGGAGAGTCTGGAGTCCAAAAAACTTCAGTGAAATAAGAAACCCACATTGTGAGAACCCTTTCTCAAGTTAACATCCCCCACCCAAAGGAGGCCCAGAGGCTTGGGAGCCTACCACTGTCCCAGG